TAGTACTATTAGTATTTATTCCATTGTATATCACTAGCTATATATCACTCTCTAGCGCTTGTATTAGTAATTGGTCCGGAATTCCCGTTCGACCATTTCCTTGTAATCATCGTTATTACTCTAATACAGTTGGGCTGTTGAACCATTTGGTTGGGTTGGGCCTTTGGATCAACACGAATTAGAGATATGCAAAGGGTTGGGTTGGGCCTTTGGATCAACACGAATTAACCTCAACATGACTAATTCATTCATATTTTAAGAATCTATTCAGAGTTTTAGAGGTAGATGGCCTAGCCTTGGATCAAAGGGTCACTGCACTCATGCCCACACTACCATGTTAGGGGAACCCAAAGGGACATGACACGAATATCGTATAAACTATTAAACTACAATATTATCAGCTTATATGTGTCTTACACACATAGAGAGAGAGGGGGGAGAGATAACTTTTCTCATACAATCTGACGGATCGGAAGTTTCGTCTAGCTGCCGCCTCCATTTGAGGTGCTTCCGGTGTAATTTTGTGATGAAATTTTGTGAACGTATTATTCATGAAGTGTAAATTATGTCAACAAAATTTGAACATAAAATCCAATCGAAAAGTCAAATAAATAAATTATTAAAGACACTATGTTTATATTATTATTTTTTGTTTTTTTTTGTTTTTTATTTTTTATTTAAAAAAGACACTATGTTTATATATATATATATATATATATATATATATATATATATATATATATAGGGAACCGTTCAGGTGAGAATGATGTCTCAGGAAAGAAATGAGAATGAAATCCCACCTTCCATTCTCTCAATCTAGTGGCCTGAAAATTATCAAAATATATGTCATATTTTCGGATTATTTAAATCATATATAAGGCAACATTCAACTTGGTATTAATTAAGGGGTACAATTGTAAAACTTAATGAAAGAGTTATAATGCACGAGATATAAAATTGGAAGGAATCCTAAAGTTTAGGATGACTATTTAATACCGTAGTAACTCCCATACAATTAGGATTTTTTTTATCTTATAGAGAATTCTTATTTAATTTTCTTTTCAAATTTAAAGAGCAATACCGATAACAAATTTGAAAAAAATTATTCATGCGCAAGCTGTGCATTATTTTTCACATTGAGTGCATTAGTAATGGGTGTGTCCATTTGCACTCCAAGAATGAATATCTGCACTTTTATTTGAAATTGTATGCAACCTAAAATACTTATTTTTTTAGCTTATTGTGTTATTTAAATAATCAACACTAATATAATATTCCTCAATTAAAATAAATGAGAAGAGAAATAACATTTTTATTATACTAATCCACACTTTTGCAAATTACGTTTACGAATTACGATATTAGTTTGCACTTACTATAACATGATTTACTGCACTTTATGCATATCATTGTGCACTTTCAGACATTTTTTGACTCAAAATGACTTTAAAATATGATAATAAATAAAAAAATGTTTGTAAAAAACAAAAGTGTGTACAATCATATGTATGCATTTTAAATATATACTAAAGTGCACGAATATGATATGATAAGTGCATCAAAGTAATTTGAATTGTGATGTGCACTTACATTTGAATTGTATATGATAATTAATGCACTTTTTCATGACAATTATCTGATTAAAACATTGTCTTCTGGTGTCGCCTGTATTTGTAGAAAAAACAAAAATAATGGAAACTGCACGAATATGATATGATAAGTGCATCAAAGTAATTTGAATTGTGATGTGCACTTACATTTGAATTCTCGTGCACTTTTCAATAAACATGAAATGGATTTTTTATAAACGTGACCTACACCTTTGTTGTACATAAAGATGTCCAAAAAATAGATAAATCATAATAAATGGAATGAGAAATACAAAAAGAAAATAGAAGATATATGCAAAGAAAAAGACATAAGAGAAATATCATGAAAGAGTAAAATATAAACAATGAATTTAAAATGATGAATGATCAAGAAAAAGTAAACAAAAGCTGGAATGAACCAAAGTGAAGATAAACGAATCCATTTGTTAAAAAAAAAACAAATCGTAGTGGAGATGAAAGAATTCTTTTTGATTGGTCAAACAAATAAGGAATAATTTATTAGAATATCTAATTACGGTTATGGAAGTATTCCGTTACCTTTAATATGATGCGCAAGTTTCATATTTGCCCCTAACGAGAGTGTTCTGTAATGTTAAAAAATTGCAAGATCTAATGGTTATAATTCATTCTCAATTCTCTCCTAAGATGGTATTCTCATATGATCACTACTCTATATATATATATATATATATATATATATATATATATATATATATATATAGAGAGAGAGAGAGAGAGAGAGATCATCATATCAGGCCGGCCTGACCGGGAGAGCCATCCGGCCGAGCCCTTTTGGCGACCTTCCCGGTGGAATTTTTTGATAAAATGTTTTGAGCATGTTTCTCATCAAGTCTAGTTTGTCCATATCAAATTTCAGGTCCAAATTCGATCGGGAAGTCATTCAAATCTTTTTTTGAAGTTGACTGCGTTTTTATATGTATATTTTGACGCAGTCAACTTCAAAAAATGATTTGAATGTCTTCCCGATTGAATTTTTAGCTGAAATTTGGTATGGATAAACTAGACTTGATTAAGAACATGCTAAAAACATTTCATCAAAAAATTCCACCGGGAAGGTTCCCAAACGGGGTCGGCCGGACGGAGGTTCCCGTCAGGCCGACCTGACAAGAAGAGTTCTCTCTCTCTTTCTCTCTCTCTCTCTCTCTCTCTATATATATATATATATATATATACATATATATATATATATATATATATATATATATATATATACATTTGGCGCCTGTAATTTGTTTAACTGACTTCTCAATTGAGTTTTAAACTGAAATTTTGTAGATATAATATACACTTCATGAAGAACGCGCTCACAAAAATTCATCAAAAAGTTCCACATGAAAGCACCTCAAATGAAGGCAACCGGACGCCACTTCAGATCAATGCAGACGTATGGGAAACTAAGGGTGGGCATGGCCCGTTAACAGGATTTCGGTTAACCAATTTTCAGTTAACCGAGGTATAAGTTATTAAACTTTCAATACCGTTACTCTTATCATAGCATTAAATAACAATGTATCGGTTAACCAAAATTTTGGTTAACCACTCATCGGCTAACAAATAAACCATGAAAGCAAAAGATAAACTTGTCAATATTCTAGTTGTTTTTAAATGTTGAGCCTATAAATTTTTAATTGGGCTTTATAACACTTCCAGAGTTCCAGTGATAAATAGATGGATGGATGGATGGATGGTTAGGGGTAAGATGGTGGGTGGGGGTGGGGTGGGGGTAAGTAGGGTAGGGGTGGGATCAGGGTAAGGTAGGGTAGGAGCAGGATGGCGGTAGGGGTGGGTTCAGGATCAAGGTGGGGCCGAGGTAGAGCATGTGGTAGGGGTAGGGTGGGGTAGGGTGGTGTCGGGTCAGGGTGAGGTAGGGTAGGATGGCAGTAGGGGGTGGGGTTGGGATCGGGGTGGGGCCGAGGTAAGGGCTTGTAGTAGGGAAGGGATTAGGCATGGACCCGGTTCGGGCCGCCCGGCCCGGGACCGGCCCGGCCCGCCACTGTGCGGGCCCGGAACCGGCCCGGTTCTCGGGTCCGGGTCGGGCCTAGGCCCGGGGGCGGGTCCGGGCTCGGGCCTTGTATTTGGCGAACCGGCCCGGCCGGGTCGGGCCCGGGCCGAATTGATTTTTTTTTTTATTTTTTTTTTCATTTTTTGGGGTTAGCCGGGTTGGGCTTGATGGTTAGGAGGGGTTTGGGGGTTTGGGGGGTGGGGGGGTGAGTGGGGGGTTAGGAAAGCAAAAAAAAAATGACCGAACCTGAGGCCCGGTCCGGCCCGGCCCGGACCCGGACCGGACCCGGTGGCTACCCGGGCCGGTCCCGGGCCTTCCTTCCAAAAAAAAAGCCCGGCCCGGGTCCATGACTAGAAGGGATGGACCAAACAAACAAGTAAATAAGTTGGGAAGTGGGAACTTGAGAAGTAAAAGAATGCTAAGGAAACACTTGTTATGTGTATAGTTATGTACATCCCGCAGGATTTATCTACGCATATATACATACGCACGGTGCTACGGAAAGTAAAAGAATGGAAAGAATAATTACAAAATAAATAAGGGAATGAATAATAGTCCGTAACCGCAATTTATACCGTGCAACCGGCATACCATGTGTATGGTATGCCCGGTTCTAATACGGTGTCGTTCTTATGCAATTAAAATCGTTTCCCAAAATTTTATTCTTCCCATGCTTCCGCTAACTTTTTTCCACTAACTTTTCTTCCTTGCTTTCTCTCTTGTGCTGCTTTTCGTTTTGAAAATTGAAGCAAGTTCTATTGCTTTGATGTAATAGGCTGCTATGAATCAATTCAGATTAATACTTCGTATAAACTTCTCCGTTCAGATTAATCTAATTAACATGCTTTGATCGATGAGGTTAATTGGTTTTTACGTATAAAATGGAGTTACACTCTTTAATACAAATTTACATCTTAAGTTACATGGAGTTACATCTTTTTATGAACGAGTTACATATTCATGTGCATGAGTTACATCTTTTTATAAGCGAGTTACATTTGGACTTACCTCAACAACTTACATTTGTCATCAACACGAATTACATTTATAATAATTAGACTCTCTTTTTCATTGTTTACATTGAAATCAATGTTTTATTTCATATACTATGTATTTGACAAGTTACATCTCATTTTGCTTGAGTTACATTGATCAAGAACTCGAGTTACATATCTTTACACGCGAATTACATCATCCATGCTACTGGGATGAAAATTAAAAAAAAAAACATTGTACACGCGTGCACTGTTCACGCGTGTACTGTTCACGCGAATTTTTATTATTATTTAAAATTGATCAAAACTACGTCGTTTTGGGGTGTGGAGCATGGTGCTCACCATGCTCCGGTTGCACGGTATACGGACTGGTCCGTAACACGTAACAAATAAGGAAAATATTTCCTTGACCATAAATCCATCATATTGCTCCATTACATAGAACGTATTCCCTTTATTATGAGCGCAGCAGTAAAGGGAATTAGAATCACATCGTATGATACAATACATATACGTACTTACATAGTATTATTTGATATTTCAGTTATTGGTTAACCGATTTAACATGACTTTAAAATCATAATCGTACCATGAACCATTTGTTCTTAACTATCGGTTAACCATACCGCGACTTTTTACAAATCCATTACGGTTAACCGAAAAATACACCGGTTTTTCGGTTTTTTATCCGGTTAATCGTTTACGGTATTTTGTGCCTACCCCTATTGGAAACGTTCTCTATATATGAAGGTGATTCGTCCAATCCAACACCACCAAAAGGTAATACGAATAAGTGCATATAATTGAAAATTTCCCAGAATATAAAATAAGGAGTTCTTGGCAATGGAACAGAAGAGAATGATTTAATTACACCACTAACACAACTTCCACAACTAGAATAGCAGTTCTAATTGTGAACTGCCTGCCAGCAGATATAGTGTGAGAGCCTAATTTACTTGCTCAATGGTGGTAATAAGGCCCCACTAGAGTTTAAGGCCCCCGGTACTTCCGGAAACAAAGACAGCCTTGTTGTTGATCAACTGGGATCATACCCCCTCCTTTTGAGGTGTCAATAGCCTCCAGCATGGACACGACTTCGTCCATCTCAGGCCGCCTGTCTGGGTTTGCATCCCAACAACGTTTCATTACATTCCCAAGGGAATTCGGGCAGCACCTTGGTATTTCTGGCCTCAGATTCTGCAACAGGAATAACATTGAAAAATTGACCTTTTTAACACCAAAATACTAGAGTTTTAAGAGTGGCCACTATATGTGTCACGATGGCAAGTAAAAAAGCAAAAGTGAAGTAATTATCAGAGGGCATCAGGGAAACCAAGTCATTTCCAACATTTTACTTTTTTGGAGTGCAAAATTATCAGTTACGTAGTATTTGATTAGGATGGAGTATAATACTTAGGATATATAATGAGAATAAGCTGAGCATACATACCTGACGAACCACGGCGGAAGTAACTTCTGAGAAACTCAGATCAGGATATGGCATGTCACAGCAATAGATCTCCCATAAACAAATGCCAAAACTATATACATCGCATTTTCTATTATATGGGTTTCCATTGAGCACCTGTGCGTTCGTAAAAATTTCAGTTTTATCATTAATATGGAACATATTTAAAAAACTGAGATTTTGAATGAAGAGAGTACAAAATATGCATTTGAGTCATCACTCATTAGCATCAAGTCTTCTTAAAGCATGAAAACTTGTATCATTTCAATTTAATTGTATAAATTGTTTGACAATTTGCATTCCAAACTTTTTCTTGAGAAACCACTCCTCCATCCTAGAAAAATCCATATTTGAAAACTTATTTTTTCCTGAAAAAAGAGTTTGATTTGAACAAAGTAATCTAAATGTTACGGAGTATTAAATTTAATTTAATATTTTTTTTCAAACCAAGAAAAATCATCCCAAACTAGTATGTTAAGTTTAGTTAAGCCAACCAATAAATTCAAAATATAATATAGTTGAATAGTTAAACTTTAGTAAAATTAGAATAAATTTCACTTTTGGTCCTACGAGTTTTAGGTCAATTCCACAATTAGTCCCCATCTTTCACTTTGTCCACTTTTGATACATGACTATTGTGTTTTCGCCTATATATGGTCCTTCCAGCATTGTTTCCGATGGTTAAAATCGCCAGAAAAGGACCACAAACGGTTAAAAAACATTAGTCAAGTACCAAAAGTGGACAAAGTGAAAGATGTGGACTAAAGGTGGAATTGGCACAAAACTCGTAGGATCAAAAGTGGAATTAATTCGTAAAATTAAATGGTTGAACTTTGGTGAAATGAGGCTCATTTTTACTATGCATGCAAGCTAATGTGTTATGTGTACATTTCCAGTGCCCTTATTCAAAATTTACCGTTCACAGTCGAAGGGCACTCAAACTACTCAAGACCTAGAAAAGATTTAAAATACTCTATAAAGAGAGGCCCACTAAGATTTGTGCAAAAACCTACCTCAGGGGCCATGTAACCAAGGGTCCCGGTCTCTCCGGTCATATCATTTGGATTAGAGGCTTCAACACGAGCAACCCCGAAATCTGCTATTTTTACCGTCCGTGTCTTGTCCAATAGCATGTTTTCTGTCTTTACATCTCGGTGTACTATCTTTTGGGAATGAAGATAGCTTAACCTGCAGAAATTGATGGAGTGCACCTAATTACTTTAGAAGTTTAGATTAAGTTCTGCAGTATCAGGGGTATGTTTAGAACTTGGAAAATGGTAGAGAAGGAAAGTGTTTTTATGTTTGGTTTACCTTCGAATATATGAATAAGTCAAAATTTATACTCCGTACAACTTTTGAAAAATTTATAAATATTTATATTTATTAGTCTTTACACGATATATGCATTTAAATAAAATTAAATTGAACAAATATTTTAAAATGATATATTGGGTTTGAAGATTTTTTTATTTTACCCCACATATTCTGCCATTCAAATTTCACTCCCATCATTTTCAATGGAGCCAAAGACTCACTGTTTTTTTGGCTTGCGAATATGATGGAAATAAGAAAAATGGCTCACTGAACTGTCTGCGCTTCTTTGTCATGAAGTAGGAGTCAGTCCATGCAATTTTCGGCACAATTTTCATCATGGGTCATCCGAAAACAATCTCTTTATGCTTTAGTGTAGGGGAAGGGTTGTCTACATCCGACCCCTCTTACCCCACGATTGGTGGGGAACCTTTGTGACAGTGGGGTAATGTTGTTGTTGTTTGTATTCTTCCATTCAAATTTCCTGTATCATCCTCCTTATTTTCTTTCCTAGCTCTTTCCCATTAAATTGGGATGCTTGCTTTGTTTCCCTTTCCGTCAACCTCCATTCATAAGCATTGGCGTGCACAACACCGTCTGGCGTTTCTATGTCAACTTTCTATAATTCATCCCGGGCTACTTTAGAGTTAGGGTTACGCTAAACTCGCTAATTTTTTTAAAGAAATGACATGGAAATTTCGGATTGGAGTTATGTAAGAAGCCACATTAGTTTTTTATTTATTTAATGGAGATGGACTAAAAGGCAAACAGCGTAAGTCACCGGGATGAATAAGAAAAAATAATAATAACCTAAATTAATATTTGTATGAATCATCATCATCACTTAAGACAAAAAAGCACAAATAATCCATGAAAAACTTACCCTCTGGCAAGGTCAAGGGCTATCTGTACTACAACTTTGAATGCCAGTTTCTTTCTTCTGTTCTTTATAAGGTAAGATTTTAAGGCACCGCCTGGAAGGTATTCAACAACAACACAGCAGATGTTACTGGGCATGCCAATCAGACCAGTTTCTGTCTGTATATTTAACCCTGAAGAGCCCATGGTTGCCCCTATAAACTGCAGTGGGAAGAGAAACGAAGGTACTCATTAGCAACTTATTAAAAATAATCAGTTGTATCTAAGGACAAACAATAGCACGTTGCAGTTTTTCCAAGATATTTTGGTTCAAAAAGCTGGTACACTCTATCCTATACATTTCTATAACTCTGTGAATCACATATTAAGCAAAAGAGCGTTCAAATATACTACAACAAGAAAACAAAAATTAGCATTCGAACATAAAAAATGCTTACTTGCGGTTAATCATTTGCAAATATGCAACCATTTGAAGCAGATGGGTTTCTAACCAAAATTTTAATCAAAATACGTTTCCAAAACCTAATTGACAACTAAAAATGTGCAAACAGCTGTAGTAGGAAAAACTTTGACAATAACATGATACGTGATTATGTGGTGAAAAAATAGTCCTTGCAAGTTTTCAGCATAGTTACAGTATCCCCTAACAAATTATGGAGTGCAAGTCATTCACTCTGATCATAATTCTACACCATGAAAGGTAAATTACCAGTCTGCTATTCAGCCACAAGAAAATAATAGTTTTGATACAAAAAATCCACTTTAGAACTTGTTGTATTATTACATATATATATATTCATCTAATGGACTTTCCTCTTTGTTGTCCACAACTGATTTGTACACTATTCTACAATGCAGGACTAAATATCTAAAGCATTACTCCCTCTGTCCCGAAATCATCTTCCATCTTTCTTTTTTCATCCATCCCAAAATGACCACTCATTTCATTTTAAAAAGAGCAGAATGTGGTTCACAAATCACAGTATTCCTTTCTTCTAAACAAATCCCAACAATAAAGTTTTCATTTTCTTAAACAGTGGACCCCTGTGCCAGTCATTGTTGGCAATAATTTCCCAATGAGGGAGTATCTTTTGTCATATTAAGAGATATATTAGAATTGAATAGCAGAATAATATGCAGCATCAACTGAATCATTCTTAATAGATACACCATTTGTCCTAAATTTAAACTTCCACCTTTGACTTTTAGAGTCAACATTTGCTAACTTTGATAGTTCATAAGAACATAATCTTGGGAATTTTGTTATATTATACTCCCTCCGTCCCTATTTATTTAGCCATCTTTCCTTATTTGGCCGTCCCAAAATATTTAGCCACTTTCCATTTTAGGTAGTAAATAAAGATACAATGACCCATTTAACCTTCGTGATTACTCTCCGTCATTCTCAATTATTCTTACCCACTCCCGTCCTTTCGTTTCTCTTAGACCGTCTCTCGCTTTCTTTTACCATCTCTTTCCTCTCTCGAACAGTAGAACCGATCTACCGCCATGGATTTTGAGGACTTGCTCCTCTATCTTCCTGAGACTCCACCATTCTGAGGTGACCCTAGGGACGATAAGAGAGTCCGCAAGGAGTCAAGGAGGATGAAGGCATGTCCGCACTGATATGGCTGAAGAAGAGCACGAAAGAACTGTTGGCAATGAAATAGGAAGACTTGTACAGCTACAGGTTTTGAAATCAATGAGACAATTACGCCAAGCTTAGTTGACTCTTTTTCGGTTTGTAAAAATCAATTTTCTGGAATGAAGTTGGATCCAGAACATTTCTTGATCTTCTTGAAATCTGATGTAATTACGTATGGTTGATTTTTTCAAAAAAAAAAAAAAGAATAATTTGTTCGTATATTTATTTGGTGTATACATTTCTTGATCCCTGTTGTTTGCTCTCATCTTATTGTGCTTTTGTGTGTAAGAAAAGCAATCGTCTTTTCAGCAAATTGGAGCAAATGATCTGTACTTTATGTTGGGTTTCTTTTTCCGTCATTTAAGTTGAGGGGCAAATTTGTCCAGTCAACTATATATATTTCCATTCCTTATTTTTTGTGCCAGTCAACATTGGCTAAATAAATGGGGACGGAGGGAGTATATTATTGAAATAATAATTTATTATACATTTTATATATCCACAACTCTAATGATAATAATAGTCAAATAAAGACATAGAAGACAGTGAAAGTCAAAGTGGGATGTTGATTTTGGTACAAGGAGAGTAATAGAAAAATTCTAAATATTATAAATAAAGCATTACTTGACAGGTAATGCAAAGCATATTATATCATGTGCATTGATTAAGTTACTTGGGTAATAGTGCTAGATAGTCTACATCCATGAGAGCCTAGATCATGTGGTCCACAGGGGTCTTAGGGTGTAGCCGAATGACACAATAAGAGTGTGTTTGGATGACTGATAGGATCCTGGGCTGAAGAGAATAATAATAATAATAATAATAATAATAAATTAATAATAATAATAATAATAATAATAATAATAATAATAATAATAATAATAATAATAATAATAATAATATAATTATAATAATAATAATAATAATAATATTGCACAGCCAAATAGGTGATAGTGTGTCTAAGAGGGCCCATTAAAAAAAATAATATAAGGTGAGCTGGGGTAGAAGAAAGGTAGGCAGATATTCTGTTAGGCTTGGGCTTGGGAGACTGCTCGAAGTGTCTCAAACCTGTCTTCTCTTTCTATTTTTCTGTTTAGGTTGGTTTCCCTACTTCTTCCCACCATTGTAATACACTAATACCTGAATAGTCTGAGATTTTCCTCAATATATTTACCAAGTTTTCTGCTGCGTTTGGGAGGTCCTATCAATGACTTATTCAAAACATGTCTAGGAGAAGAAAAGTACTTCACATTCAAAAAGAAGCTTTTGGCAACAACAAGTAAAAACAGAACACTTTTGGCACTTATTTTTAACATAGCAACAGATTGGCACTTTTTCAAAAAAGCACTTTTAGTGCTTCAATGAGAAACCACTTGATAAAAGCGCTTATACCATATGTTATCCCTAACAGGCTCTAAACCATTTTCAAGGCATTTAACCAGCAGCACTATGATCTCATCTCCCCCATCTACACAAGGCCATTTCAGAATTGCCCAGCAAGAGTAGCAAAAAGAGTTCATCAGTTTTGAATTGCAGATCTCAGAAAAGAGATGGAATGGCACCTTAGTGACGTTAGGATGGTCAAGCTTATGCCATACTGCAACTTCTTGAGTAAAAGCCGCCCTCAAAGAAGCTATTTCAGCCTCCGTCCGGTGTCCCTCCTCTCCCCAGTCTAGCAGTTTAACTGAGAACCAGTGCACAATAAATAAATAAAGACAATAGTAACTTCTTTACTCAAGACATAAATAATACCAACATTTTTTTTGGGTAAATGAAACTGATATTGTAATGTGTTTAGGCTGCAAACATAAAATAATTTGCCACATGGGCTGTGTTTGTATTAAAGTGTAAAAATGTGGGAACATGTTCTGGTTTATGTAATGAACACCGACCAGTTTGTATTAAAGTGTTTATAATGAGTAAAAAATCAGAACATGTGGGAACATGTTCTGATTTTTTTTACTGATTATAAACACTTTAATACAAAGTCGGTGTTTGTTACATAAAACTTATAATATCAATTAAATTTCTTAAATTAGTGAACACTTCAATAGTCGGATTAGTAAGATTCATTTGGTCGCAATGGCAGAATCTACTGAAAATTTACCAGAGAAGTGTTTGGTGAAATTGATTTTTCTTATTCTAAGATAAGGTTCATCAAATTAGTTCTACCAAACGTGGACTAAGTTAATGCATATTACTTTGCCTCCTTTTCCTTTTTACACTAACTTTGACATAAAAAAGAGGTGGTGTTATATTCAAAATATTGTTCACCTGTATGGGAAATATCATGTCACTGCAATGAGTTCTGGTTTTATTACTAATTATTTGCACTATAATGGGGGCAACTAACTAATCTAATTGTCATTGTATGTTGGAAATGTTGTGCTCTAGCGAAATAAATCTTTAATTCTAAAATTCTAGGTTTGAAATTTCATATTCAGTTCTCATCCTCTCAGATGAAACCAAAAAGTACTAATATTAGTTAGGTTAAATGGAATATGAACCTCACTAAAACAATGTTCTCACTCATTGACTCATTGTATGTTGGAAATGTTATACTCTAGCAACATAAATCTTTAATTCTACTACTCTAGGTTTGAAATTTCATATTCGGTTTTCATCCTCCCAAATGCTTCCATCATTTTCAATGGAGCCAAAGATTCATTATTTTTTGGTGTGAGAATATGATGGAATAAAGAAAAATGGCTCACTAAACTGTCTGCGCTTCTTTGTTATGAAGCAGTAGTCAGTCCATGCAATTTTTGACGCGATTTTCACTATGGGTCATCCGAAAACAGCCTCTCTGTGCTTTAGTACCGGGGTAAGACTGCGTACATCCGACCCCCCTTACCCCACCGTAGGAGGGAGCCTTTGCGGCACTGGGGTAAATGAAAATGAATGATGATCCTCCCAAATGCAACCAAAAAAGTACTAATATTAGTAGGATTAAATGGAATGTGAACAAATGCCCTCACATAATAAATGCCTAAGCACATAACAACATTTATCTTTATTGGTAACAAATGATGGTCCAGCAACAATACTGGTCTACTAGACGCTATCCCAAATTTTTGTTTGTACTAAATATTTTACTTCATGCCCCCACCACATATGCTTACATTCAAACATATGTGATGGTCCACCACATATGTTTGTACTAATACTTGCCCCTGCCACAATTGCTTAGTTGGTGAAATAAAATAAAAAACAATTTCCTTCCTCCATTAAAATCATTTCATTAGGTGGGAGTACCCCAAGTATTTCCAAACTCACATACATTGGTTAACATAAATATAAGGGATAAAAAGGGAAAAACAAAACAACGACAACAATAGGTAAATGAACAAAATCTTCAGGTCTTGATATAGCGGTGGCAGTAGTCACATGTAGAGAAGTATTAATGGTTTATATTACTTTATACTTGACTAGCATCTTGGATCACATGAAAGTTCTGACTGTGTCAATTCAGCCCATCTGCGATTTGTGAAGATCAGCCCAAACCCGTGCAGCAATTCACGGATTGCGCAAGAAATAGTCCTTAAAAATTATTATAAACTAGATCATAGAGTGAATGACTATCTACTGTTCCCAAAACAATAGCATATACTCTGTTTGCAGATAAAAAAAATTAAATAAAGTATGTCAGTGTTAAAGATGACTGTTAATATAAAGGGCCCAGGATACTAATATTGTACCGAATAGATTAAGACGAATCTGAGTGAAATGAATCAATCCAAATTGATTCTATTCTGCCATTGATTCTATTTCTTTTCTCCATCCAAATTGTGAATTTTCCTAGAGTAAAAACTATCAGTTAAAAAAAACTATCAGTTACTGCACCACCCCATTTGAAGGTCTCCATGATACGTAGTATATAAATACCAGTATTAATTACACCCGGTATTGGTTGATACATCCTCATTGATTTTAGGATTATTAAAAAGCATGCCTAGTGAGGGTGCGGGGACAGTGGAAATTGTGAAAAGTAGACAGGTAGGTTAGTACTGACCGGCGACATCTTGAGCGTCGTAAATGCCACGGTGGACAGTGCCGAAGGTTCCACGGGCAAGGACAGTTTTGATGATGAGCTTAGTAGTGTCAATCTCCCAATCAAACCTGAGCCTGGCAGGGGCGGAGACTGCGGCCTGGTGGAGGAGATTGGAATCGTCCTGCGTCAGTCTCTTCTTGTTATTCTCCATAGTCAGAGCTCGATTGAGATGCCTCTCAAGCTGCTCGTCCAGACTCTTCAAATCAATCTGATCAGCCCTCACAAATCCATCGCTGCTTTTCTCCATTCTCAAATTTCCAGATTTACCAACAACAATATAAATAAATAAAAATGTTAATTGGGGGATGCGTATGAATGGAGGAGGGGGGAGAAGTATTCTCGATCAGCAGCTGCATGTGGGCGGGCACATGGAATTGCCTCAACACAGCACAGCTAGTGTTGTACTGACCCACAACTCATCTTTCCTTTTTTATAATATATAATTGAGAGGTAGTGTCGGGGCTTACGCCCTCTAATCCTCAAGTTTATGAATCTACGGAAACCAAAGCCACCTAATCATGTACCTAGTAATAGCGGTTTGACCACTTTTGGCGTTTTCGATGAATCAAAATGTTGTTTGGTAAATAGTGGTTCGCCACTAGCGTTTTTAGATGGACCCACAAAAATGAAAACGTTGCAAATATGAGAGTTTTGAGTTAGCGTTTTGAAAAATGACGTTTTGTATTAATTTTATGGCCAAACAGCTAAATTACCAAACATCTTCTGAAAACTCGCCAATTTTATTCCGCTGATCAAACCCGCTAATTGAATCTGTCATTAACAACCCGCTAACATAATTCGCTAACCGCTAAATGCCAAACACGCCCGTAGTGTAGTTTATCATGAACTGCCCTCCAAAGTTTCAGACAAGTAACAGTTAAAACTTTTGATTTCGGTACTCAATTGTGTAATAATAATAAAAAATAAGGTTGGAGTTACTTTTTTGCTGTAGTTACTCTAGAGAATCATTTGAGCCGTTTTTCATATAATTTTTCTTTCTTTTATTAATAAAAATATTTTAAATATAAATTTTTCATAAATTAGCAAAAACAGTCAATCCAACCACTTTAGTCAGAACTTCATAAATTTCAGCAGAATCAGTCAATTCAACCAATTTTGATGTTACCAAAAAGACTCTAAATCTAAAACACCTTCTCATGTTGTTCCACCACATGAACACGTTATCACGATTATGAATCTCTCTTTTCTCAATCGTTGAGTTACTCCGTAAAAATATGGAGAATAATGGAAAACAAGATCTCCATCTTCCCTAAGTGGGAGTTGAACTCAAGACCTCTCACTAGAAGAGACTTGGATGGATGTTTACCTATGTAGCACCGATACCGGTACGCGGAAACGCGGAAACGCGGAAACGGGTACAGGGATACGTCAAAACCAAAAAAAGTAGGATACGGATACGGGGCCATATTTATAAATATTAAAAGTTATAGGGGTCTATTTATAAATATTAAAAATAGATTTGTTTTGAATATATATATATATATATATATATATATATATATATATATATATATATATATATATATATATATATATATATATATATATATATATATATATACACACACACACACATAGTAGCGATCGTCGCCCCCCTTTATCAACCAAGGAAGAAATTAGAAACTCTAAATTCAATAGTAGGATTTGTCGCAAATCAGAGTTGGTCACCACTGATAATTGCTTGCCAACAGAAAATCTGAACACGCAACTAAAAATCTACAAGAAATCTCAAAAGAATAAAAAGCGTCATAGCATGAGGACCAGATCACAATCCAGAGATTTTCCTTGGGCCTAGTTATTTTCTTTTGTTTTCCTTGTACGTTTCATTTTTTTTTAGTTATCTTATTGTACTGTAATTTCGTAATTTTATGAATAAAATCGTTTGCTTAAAAAAAAAAAAAAAAAAAAAAAATACACACACACATATAATATCTTATGATGTCTACCCATTCATTGCATTGAAGCATTTTCCTTTTTCAAGATCTTAGTAATAAATTCATAATATTTCTTATATATGCTAGTGTATCTCGAAATATAAATGTAGTCAATAAGTCATTAATTTAAAATGAAAAATAAGTCAAACAACTGCAATCTTGAAATTAAAAATGCAAGTACCCACTTCGGAATATGAGTTAATGACTTAATTCGGATATAGCCATATAGACCCATTATTTGATTACCAAGTAAAATGTAGTTTTAGATTTTCATTTTTTTAGAATTTTATTAAATAAATTTTGGGATTTTTTTTTAAAAAAAAGTTGATACGGGTATCCGTCAGGATACGAGTATCGGAAACTTTCAAAAAATTACAAAAAAAATGGAAACTTTTAAAAATTGCAGATACGGCCCGGGAACGTACGGTACGGGTATCCTAGAGTATCGGATACGGGAACGTATCCGATACGCCGATACGCTACCCTAGGGAAGTATCCGTGCTTCATAGATGTTTACTCATTGAGCTAGACCCACCTTCCCTTCTTTCGTTTATTCATTCTTTCTTGTTCAGTTTTGTTATTTTACAACTGCATTAATACTCTATTATAGAAATTATTTAAGTAGGACTAAAAGTAATATGGAATTTGAAAATAAAAATATTACATTTTTAATTGAAATAATTAGTTGCGCACTGAAAAATAATACTTTGTATGTCTCATGTAAAAGTTTTCGTTCAACTTACGATGTTTAACTGACTATAAACTTAACTAATTTCAATGATAAAATTATATTTAGTAAATAAAACTTAAATATTCAGAAACTACATTAAAGGTTTTACAAAATCGCAAAAAAAACAAATTTAATAAGAGTTAGTGTTGGGATAATTAGTCCGATTTGGGAACGGCCCAATATCCCTTAGCAAGGAAGCAATCAAGGCCCAACTTGGGAGCAGTCCAACAAGGAGGTATGTTTGATGCTCGTCCCGTCTACAAAGGCGCTCGGCCTTACCGCCTTTGTCTCAATGGGGCCAGATGATGAAACCGAAAGCCTCGGAGAGAATGTCAACATGGCCCGAACAGCAGACTTGGACTTGTGATTATTTGGGCCCAGGATCAGTAAGATGGGGGACACTCGTCTGGGACCTTTGGCGGGAAAGCAAGATATTGACGAGAAACGCATTTAATGCAATAGATTTGGTTGTTGGGAAGCTAGCCACTCAAGAAGCTCCGCATCTCCACTACCACCTACCCCTTGGTAGTATAAATAGTACTCCGTAGCATTTATTTCATGATTAGGGGTTGGCAACTTGTATTCACTAGTTGTGGCAATTATCCCCTTGCATTCTCAGCTCAGATTAGACGCTCGGCCTCGTCTGACAGTAGGGTCCGCCGTAATTGTTCATTATTATCTACTTAATAAGAACTCGGCCCATAGGGACGGAGCCAACAAGGGAGGTGTGGTGTCAATTGACACCACTGATTTTTTTTCCCATAAGTAAGTATATAAAATTTTTGAAAATTCTAAAATTGACACCACTGAAGAATAAAAATTCTTTGTATAGGCGTATGTAATGTTTCATAAATTATAAATTGACACCACTCCACTAATTAAAGAAATGGGTGCAATGTAAAAAATTTTAAAAATTGGAACACCAACTTAAATCAATTGAAAGTCAGGCAATTGAAAATTGGAACACCAACTTAAAACTGAAAAACAAGTTGAAGTTCAAACACTCTTGCAATTGATCCAATCTTTTGATTTTGCTTTCACCTTACACTTGATAAACAAATGAGTTGTCAAAATCTTTACAAAGAAAGGATCAAGATATTGTTAACGCTATGGAATTGGTTAAAGTTGCCAAAGAACGACAATATTTGCTATGTTTGCTTTATGCCTTTATGTGTTAATAAATTATTATATAATACTCCCTCCGTTCCGCTAAGATTGTCTCAGACACTATTCACTTGGTCAAAACAAATCACTCTTAATCTTTTATTTTAGGGAAAAACGCACTTCTAGTTCCTGAAATAGTCACGAAAATGAAATGTCGGACCCGTATATCTGATATTGTAAATGTCACCCTCAATTGTCCAAATTGTTGTAAATGTGGTCCTTTAAGGGGTGAAATGTACTCTCGCCCACATTGTATATTTCACCCCTAAATGGACCGCATTAAGGGCATTTAGGACAATTGAGGGATGACATTTACAAACTTGGGAATACGGGTCGAACATTTCATTTTCGTAACTATTTCAGGGGCTAAAAGTGTGATTTTCCCTTTATTTTATATATCAAATTTTTATCAAATTTGATTCTGGTTTTTGCGACTTTGTAAAGTTTTTTTATGTAGTTTCTAAATATGTGATTTTTATTTTCCAAAAATAGTTTGAGTGCGTACAAGAATCAGTTTTCTTTATCGTCGGTTAAACATCGTAAACCGAAATGTCCCAGACATAGTGGGACGGAGGTAGTATTATTCTGCTTAAAAATAGTGCTTTGTTAAATTGACACCACTGACACCGGTTCCTGGTTCTGTCCCTGTCGGCCCACTTACTAGATACACCATTTGCTTATCCATTCATTGATTGCGCCACTCGTTATATTTGATCCATTAAGCTTATTACTTATGAAACTCAAAGGAAGGTGTTGGGCCTTTGGAGTTGAAGGAATAAACCTCAAAATTGACGCCGTTTGTGGGAAACTGAACTAAAAAGTTTCCAAGCAAGCTCTCGCACTAAGCAGCATCCTAAGAAACTCTTCGAACATGCAAAATGATCAAAATCTCATCTGAGCGCACCTGTGACCTCTCCGAGCAGCTGGAGAATAGCTGGAGGTCATGCACGTAGACATCTGTTGGACTGTCCAACAGTGAATGGATGCGCGGGGATGTCACAAACTTGAATCTCCTGGAGGCCATGAGGAACCCTCGCATCATGAGGGAACTGACAGAAACAATGTGCAGCATGGCCGACAAGCAGGATGCAGAGCGGACCGTGTACATGGTGGAGAACGAGTGCACACCTCCCTCCCCATCCATCGCATGCAATCATTCGGAGAAAGGACGGATGAAACCGAGAACTCCCGCACCTCGATGCACACACGGATTGGCGGGACGCCACACTCCCAAGACATGGGAGGCCACAGAGGGGCAGGCGTGCCCAGGCACAGACGACGGGCCACCACGGACGAAACCCGTTAGTGCCTCACGACAGTGCACAGTCCAGGAAACCTACGCCCACTATGAAGCGTGTGGGCCACCGGTTCCAATACATTGAGGGAAACGGCGACTGCTTTATTCAAAGGCAGCACATCGCAGGATTGGCCCATGCAGAGGTCGCAACAACGAATATCGGTCATGTGGCCTCTGCTCCTACGGCACACGATGTGATCTTTGCCGTGATGCGGAAGCAAATCAACGAGCTGAACCTGCAGGCGGAGAACGCAAACACGCAGCCTCGTGTCGCACTCACCTCCTTTTTCTCTGCAGGATCATGGCGGCAAAGATCTCGCGGGACTG